CCTGTAACTAGTAAGCCATAGAATTATGTTTTCAAGCCAAGTAGCCTGGCTGGTTTTTGCTCCAAACCACTACACTGTAATACGCTTATTAAATCAGTTAATAAATCAGGGCGCCTCCAACCACCTTAGCTCCAATTCATCTCATTAAAATACTGACACTATCTACTTTTAATGAAAGAGGACCAGTGATAAGTTACAGTAACAAAACTATGCTGGCAGAATTTATTGACTGCTATCAATCTTAATTCATCAATAAAACCAGTAAATGGTTATTACACCAACTAGTTCTCCAAGATGCTAAATATGTTAAACATATTCCAATTCACTAAACAGTATATGATTACGAGTTATTCTGAGAAAACCCCCAAGATGATCTTAACCCTAAGTAAGGCTGGTTAATTCTTCAGTTTTATGGCCAACTAAAAGGCTGCTAAATGCACATTCCAAATCACAATAAAACCAAAAAGTACATGCAAGTTAACATATAAGCAACAAATTATTGCTTATTAAAAAGCAAGCAACAACAAAAAGCTCCGTACCAGCTAATGATTCTGGAATCTGTGGTACTTTGTGGAGAGCTCTGGTTTCATAGTGTTTCAGAGTCCCTGATACCAGGGAAATACTGGGAGGTAGAAGCCCCAAAGGTCAAAGCCCTCCTCACCTTCCCAACAAATCATCCCATGACAACATTACTCTGATTCTGACTTTACAGGTGCTAAGTTTTTGGAAACAATAAAGCCCCACTCTAACAGAAGACCTTTGAATGAATATTCTTTCACAACTCATGTCCTTCCTGATTATTTTGAGAGAAAAAGCACTGAACAAAGGCAGTATAAGACTATACTTTGTTAATACTTAGTAAATAACTGATGTGTCTTGTTTTCCCCATCGCTATTTAGCCCCTCTAGCCCCTCTTCCACCTCCACCCACCCCCTCCCCTCACCATCACCATAACTGATGCTTATTAAAATAGCAAACCTTAGTTTGCTATATTTCATCGGTGAGTAAATTGCCTAGAGTTCCCACGTCCATCCTAGTGTGGAATGCCTTTTCCTACACTTTCTACTCCACTCACAGTTCTTTTTTTTAATATGTGTGTTTATTGATTTTAGAGAGGAAGGGAGAGGGAGAGAGAGAAACATCAATGATGAGAGTCACTGATAGGCCGCCTCCTGCACGCCCCCCACTGGGGATCGAGCCCACAACCCGGGCATGTGCCCTGACTGGGAATCGAAACATGACCTGGATCCTAGGTCGATGCTCAACCGCTGAGCCCCACCGGCCAGGCTCCACTCACAGCTCTTGACACTCTACCCTGAAACACCCACAACCCCTTTAAAACTGAAGGAGTCATAACACTTGTTCATTTTAAATTGTGTTACGGCAAAGGGAGCTTTGCATTTTATTATCCTTCCCCCTTAGCTCTGTCTCTGCCCCCCAGTTATCTAAATCCATGCCACAGGACCAGGCGGCGGCACGTGGTATAGACGCGTTCATGCTTTATCACAGATGCTTCGTCATACTATTAGGCCGTCACAGTTCCCAAGGAAATGCTCGATGCTGCAACTCGCAAGCATATAAACACATTTTTACTACTTAATTGGAGCTAAAAATGGGCTTTGTAGATTATGGCTGGAAAAGGTTTACATTTTTCAGACAACGAAAATTAGAAGATCACTTTGGTATGCAAAAGACGTGGACCAAATAAAGCAATAAATTCAACGCTAAAAGTCTTCATCAGAGAGGGCATGGCTCACAACCATCTTTTCTGGTTTAAAAGCCTATTTAGAGTGCTATACTGCATGGTCCCAGGGGCTGCCAGGGCACCCAAATGAGCAAATAGATGCCAGGGAGCAGTCTGTACTTAATATTCCTAATTTGTAAATGATGAGACGGAAATAGCAACAACCAGTTTCTAAGCCAACAAAAGAGAAATAAATAGTAAAAAATCTTGCTGTCTGGAAAAAGTCCTTTCTTATTATTAGTGGGCATGAACCACTCTGTGATGAGCATGCGTGGTGGTTTTTGTTTTTGTTTTTGTTTTCAGGGAAGCTGGGACAGGACAGAGGCATCACTGGTCTTCTGCAGCAAGCTTGCTCCCTCTCTTCGGGTTCCTTTTTTATTCCATGCCAACCACTAGATTCAAACTTCAATGTGATGAGCCAGTAAATAATCAAACTATCTATAGGAGTTTATAGTAAATCTATAGAGATGATCATTTTGAAAACAGTAAAATTTGCTAGTCTGATCATATTTTCTGACTTATGACTGTAAATCTTTTTTGGTAACAGATGAAGTATAAATAACATAGAGATGAGTGAGCAAACACAGTTCTAGTCTCTACCATTTCTAGGTTAAGAAGGTGGGAAAAATATGTATTCACCACTCCCAACCCACCAATGTTCTAACCACATTCTGGTGATGAATATAAATCACAGAGTTGGAAAACTGCCCTCTGGCATCCACAGAGAAGGTTTCCAAGCATCCAAATTTCTCTTAACCTGGTCGAAACTGTTTCTCCATGTCAACTCGCCACACTCAAAAAAACACTTCCTTTCTTGTATAGTGCTTTTCTGTCCAGTGAGTTAATCAATTCTTGCATTCTCATAAATGATTACACAGGAGAATTTAAATGTAATTTTTTAGAAAGATAAAATCTAAGCAAACCAAGATTAATCATAGTTCAATGACTTGTTAAAAACAAAGCTCTCACTGAGCCCTGGCCAGGTGGTTCAGCTAAGAACATTGTCCTGATACGCCAAGATCAGGCGTTAGATCCCAGGTCAGGGCACATATAAGAAGTAACCAATGATGCATAAATAAAGTGGAATAACAAATCAATGTTTTTTTCTCTCTCTCAAATCAATCTTTAAAAAACAGGGGGAAAAGCAAAGCTTTCATTGAATATGACCAATGAAGCTGTTATCTTTGTCCTCAGAGAGTCTATATTTCAAGAGTTCTGAAAGGACATTATTCAAAAGAGAATAGCTACCTCTTAGGCCCATAATTACCTGTTAGATCCAAGCCAGCATGTGGTCAACAGGTGACAGGCATTTAGTTTTACTCTTCAGAAATTTAAATCTTACAAGACTGCGCTTTTTACATTTTAGAAACAGCCCATGATTACGTAGAGGGGAATATAATCAGACCTAATCTCTCTTTTCTAGAAAAAAAAAAGTAATATTTATGGAAATCCAAACCCTGTTATACAGTCACCTTCTAAATTATAAGCGCCTAGCTTAAATCTACTCATTCCCTAATATCATCAGGTTCTTTCTGCTCACCACTTAACCTGCATCTCACGGCAACTGTTGCAGGGCAACTAAGCTGTGCTGGGGGCCACAGCATCACCTGGTGTTGACCATGTCAAATTGTCCGACCTAGAGTCTGTGGATTTGACGAGTTTACAAGTCATGGTTCAGATGCCATTAGCACTCCTTGTATCTTTATTATCTTGAACACCTCATACTCCCTCTAACTCACTGATTCTCAAGGTAGGGAGCACAAGGAAAGGAGATGTGAGGGGCAAGGAAATGTTTATAAACTGGATAAGAGCAACTTTCCAGGATACTAAACATCCCTCTGCCAAGATTCTGATACAGCCTTCGTACTGGGGCATCACCTCACCCACCCCTTGAAAATCACAATGTGTCAAGAGAAAAAGATGTTAATGATGGGAGATTCCTTGAAAAGACAAAATCAGAAAACTGTGAATAGCTCCTGGGTAATGCCTAATCCCTCCTCCTTTATTCGTGTCCCTCATATTCTCCAATAATATTTACTGGGTAGTACAACATCCCTACAGTCATCGTAAGACTGAGGTAAGTAAATATTTGGCCTTCCTTTATACTGTCTTGCAGCTATTACGGACAAACCGAGTATATATCTATATAACTCCCCACATAAAACTTCTACGTTCTTAGTACAGTATTTTGTATTTACAAAAGTTACCTATGATGAGAATGCAGTCATGGATGCTAGGGTGCCAGCTTGAGTGTAAAAGCCAGGTCTTCCTCTAGTAGTCAGATATATATGTTTAGAAAAATCTGGGTCGAGGTCACCTGGAATGTGTTTGTAGAAGAGACTCAGATGTCTCCAGGGAAAGTACTTTCCCTAAAGGGAAAGAAAATCAGGCAAACAAGTTTGCCCCAGTCTCCACCCCCTGATTCTGAGGGAGACATGATTCTGAGTTCCGTACGGAGTCAGTCACTAAGATGTCTTGTTTCCCATCACTACTCCATGGATTCCTGCCTCGTTCATTAGGAAAAAGAAAGATTTTTAGAAAACCAAAAAACTGAAAGAGGTATTTTTCACGAACCATCTCTGTGAGACATCAGGGCAAGATGTATGCCTGCTGTGGTACCTACTTCGCATATAATACAACAGAGAGCTCTGGCACACCAAGAACATCAGATATTAAGGTAATATGATAATATGGTTCGTTACCATACCTTAATGCTGTGTGATTCAGTGCAGTTTACAACAGCATCCCTTAGTCATTTTGGGAGCATCCAGAAACAGCCCCTCTGTGATAAATACTAGTATCTTCAAGGTAGAGACACACACTACCACACACAGGACATGAAGACCTCAGTAGATGACCTGCTCCCTGCCCCTGAGTCCACTATGAGCACCTATGACCCATCCTCCAGCCCCAACCAGGGCCTCCCAGAAGTAATGGATAATAAAATAGAAATACTAATGTATGGGCTTTTAGAGGACACAAAGATCCTCAATTTCAGTGGAGGGTAAGCATACTTAGAAAAGTTTCCCTGATGTAAGTATTTTTACTACTATGTTCTTCAATCTCCAGGTAAATGCCACACATGTAATTTCCACTTAAACATCTTCAGGACTGCTGAAATTAAATCACTTGGAAACAAGGTCTCAATCCGCATAGCCTCCAAACTTCTCTTTAGTAGGAAATAAAACATTCACGTAAAGTTCCCTCTTCCCCTCGTTCATTCTCTCTTAACCGTATAAATATATAGTTAATATACCGAGTATATTAGCAGTACACTGAAGAATTCCTGAGACGTCTTCAATTTCCTCTTTGTTGGAGTGGTCTGCATAGGAGCATCTGTTAGAGATATTGTGGAAATTCTTTTCTGCATCCCTATAACTAAGAAGAAAATAAAATTAGCATATGGAGAAAAAAATCTAAGCATCTGCGAATGCACTCATGTACATACGCACAAGCACACGTAGTCTATGCTCTCGGTGTAATCACACTTCAAAATAACTGAACCTTTAAGACATAATTTCTGACATAACCCACCATTAACATCAGCATTAACAGAGTGGACCTGGAACCGGAGACAATTATTAATAAGAAAGCTATGTTTGCAAAATAATAAATGAGGAAAACCAGAAGGTATCTCAGCTTTTTGTAACTAATGTTTCCTTATGGAAGTGTTTCCTAGCTGCCAGGAATCTGTTTCCATAAAGGAGCTGTCTAGGACAAGAATGAACAGTACTAATTTGGGGCATTGGCACTAACTGTGCTGAAAGTAAATACATTTTAACCTCTATCCCAGACAGGCAAGCGGACAGCAGTCCGGTGCTTGGATATGAAGCAATCAAATTGGAGTCTGACAGCCTATGAATCATGGTCTTACTATTTTCTTCTTGTATTAACGAAATCAATATACAATACTATATTCGTTTCAGGCATACAGCAGAGTTATTCAACATTAATATACATAACGAAGTGATCACCATGCTACGCCTAGTAACCATCTGTCATCAGACAAGACTGTCTCGATATTATTGACTAGATTCCCCATGCTGTACACTGCAGCCCCGTGACTGACTTTGTAACTGAAAATGTGCATCTCTTGTGCCCCTTCACATTTTGTGCCTCATTCTATCTGTGAGATGTGGGGCAAGTAACCTAAACTCTGTTAGTCTAACTTCCCTCCCTCATGAAATGGAGATGCCTCCTGGAGTCCTCGGTGGACTAGACGACAGAATGCTGGTGTGACCCGACGCTGATGGAACTTCTCCAGCTGCCTGACTTAGAGCTAAATCGCCAAAGCTCCTACCTTCCAAAAGAGTGGCCAAGATCACCAGACATCTCCAGAACTTTAGAAATGACCAAATAGCGACCACCACTGTCACCCCGCCAGCAGGTGACAGAAGCAAAGGGATGTACAGAAGTCAAAAGGAAATCCTGAGAAGAGTGAGTCCCTGGCCTAGGAAGAGAGTGCTGCTGTTGCTTTTCCCTCCCCAGTGAGGAAACAAGAGAAGGGAGCACTCCCTGCGGAAGCCCAGGTGCTGAGAGAGGGTGGAGCTGGGTGTCTCACTCCCCAGTGAACATCTGCGGAGGGATTCTGGACCATCCTTTGTGCCAGGCTGAGTAGAGGAAGAAGTTTCCAGAGAGAGTTCGAGCAAAGAAAAGAAACAGAGCCAAACTGGAAACAGCCTACATTCCCACCATTTGGCAAGGCAAAAAGAAAAGAGTTTCCCATGGATTCGTAGATGCCACTAAGGAGAGGCAAGCTTGACATCCCATCCCACTGTTTTCCCTTTCTAGAGACTGCGGCCTGGGGCAAGAATCCCACTAGCAAGACCATGGCATGCAAGCCTCAGGTCCAGGGCAGGCCTCTGAGGCAAAGCGGAGCCCATCCATGCACCTCACTGAGGACATCACAGCCAAGAAAGGACTATTACAACCACCAGGGAATTTTCCCTTTTCATTCTTGCCTGACACACACATCAGAAGAGAAAGGGACCTAGGAAGGGGTGGCCTGGAGTGGCGGAGTGAAAAACCACATCAGATCCTCTCTATACTGCTTTCCAAGTTCCTCAGGCCAAGCCTGGCCCAGACAGAGAGGGATATGAGAGTGAGATTGGAAATGAGATTAAAGATTTCAATTGGTCTGAAGTGGACTTTATACTCCCTGAATGTACTTGGAAAACAGAGCAATGTGCCCAGGCTAACATCTAAGGGGCTCATGCTCGCAGGTCTGAAGTGATTGGAGAGAAAAAATAAAATGGTTTCATGGCTGTACATCTCATGGAGATCTGACTCCAAAAATCCAGCTCCCGGCCGGGCATGGCTCAGCAGTTGAGCATTGACCTAGGATCCAGGCAATTGGGGTTCGATTCCTGGTCAGGGCACATGCCAGGGTTACGGGCTCGATCAATGACTCTCTCATCATTGATGTTTCTCTCTCTCTCTCCCTCTCCTTTCTTCTCTCTGAAATCAATAAAGATATATTTTAAAAAAAAATCCAGTTAGGCAAATGCTTACTATAGTTTCTAGAATGTAGGATTCACTCAATAAAAGGTGAAATGGGAACCACAGGCGTTAAACACAGGCAAATAAAGTGTTATTTTTAAATCGAGTGCCACCATTTTCATCAGTGTGACTTTGGACAAAATATTTTTGTCACAGCCTCAATTTATTCATCTATACCATGATTCTATGAAATAGATGGTTAGGATTACATAAAATAACAGATGTAAAGTGCCCCGTATGTTGCCTCAAACAGAGGGAGCAATCGATAGATATTAACTTTCATCTAACTTCTTGTTTTTATTCAATAAGATAGTTATTTTTTATAAATATATGAAAAGGAAGCTAGATTGTGCTTTGGGTAACAAAATTTATAGTTACAAAAATCGGACCATGGGAGCATAAATAATATCACCGAAGTTTGTTTCCCGGAGTAACCAGGGTTCCCCCACTCCTAATTTCCCTTCTAATGTTCTACTGAAGTTATTCTAGCTAAATCCCCATTCAACTGTCAAGAGAAAAAGAGAACAGAAGGTTGGCTGAATGAAACAAACACAGGGCCCACGGTGATGATTGGAGTAATAGAATTTAATTTTAGATGACTATAGGAAATGCTGTCCCAGGCTAATATGAGGTTGGCAGCAGTCCTACCCATGTATTAGCACAACGATGCTAATTCTGGCAAAAAGCATAAAGATAACAGCACCATTCCAAATACATATTTCTTTATACTTTAGTGTTTAAAATGTATAATGAACGAACATTACACCTCAGAAAGATTGATCGTCATGTGTTTTCCAATCATAGTTTTTTAAAGAAATCTCTGCTTTGTCTACACTGCCATAGTAATCCATTTCTTGTGAGCTATAGACCAGTAGGAGTAGTGTAGTATAAACATGAGTGAGAGCAGTTGCATTAGGCACTTTCGAGGCAGAAATTTAGGTTAAAAAAATCCAAACTCTGTAAGAAGAAAGCTGTAGCTAAAACATGAGCTGGGCATGCTTATGTTGAGCTCCTGACGCTAAACAGCTGATTCCAAACTTTAAAGATTCAAGGACAGGGCAAGGATATAACAGAAGGATGAAGGGAAAGAAATCAACAAAAATCGAGGTGCCAAGGAGTCAGGTACTAATAGGGGTAATAATTCAACAAACGTATTGGTTACCTTTGTGTACCAGGCACTGTACTACTTTATATGGTTATATGACTTAACACCTTATTATCATTAATATTTTATTTCAACTTCACCCAAACCCTGTAATTATTCCCATTTTAAAAATAAGAACACTGAGGCTCAGAGTGGTTTAAGTCATTTGTCCCCGTGGGATCAAAGGCAGAATCTGACTTTAAGTCTAATAAATCTCGTATGTCTGCTTCCAAAGCACATTTTCTCAGTCTCCTGCTCTGTGCTACACAACAAACATGCATGGAGAGATGCAAACATGCAAGGCAGAAGATGGCATCAAGAATGACATCAGACACCAATGCCATCACCAACCAGATTTTCCTCGGTCCTGAGTTCCTTTCCATTCCAAGGGGCACCCTGCCGATCTCCTGCTTCCCCCTTTTGCTTCTCAGTATTCTTTCCACCCCACGCTGCCCGAAAACCTAGACCAGTCCCTAGAAGCTTGGGTTACAGCAGCACACCATGCACACTCAGTGGCAGGAAGAAGGCTGTGCTACCCGAGCAGGAAGCTGTCCCAGTGAACATGCTTGTGCAGAGTTTACACAGCGATCACAACTTACGACAAAGTCAATCTGACACACAGTGGCAGAACATTCAGCATTCATGGAAAACTATGCAGATAAATCAATGTAATTTAGCCATAACAAACAGGGTCCTGGGTACTAGCACTATAATTTTAGAACTCTAATGGACCCTGGAGATTATTTCAACCCCTCATTTTATACCCCCTTCCCAAGCATAATTGACTCTTTTATCCACAATATACATACCTCTGTGTACATACCTCTAGAGCAAATTTATTCATTTATTCACACTCCCTCACTGCCCCCTAAAATTGTTAGTCCCTGCTATGTACCAAGCATTTACAAAGGTAGAGGAATATAGAAGTAAATAAGATAAATAACCAAATATAATATAAGCTGATGCTAAGCACTATGAAAAGAAACAATGGCCCGATCGGGCATAGCTCAGCGGTTGAGCGTCGACCTAGGATCCAGGCGATCAGGGTTCGATTCCCAGTCGGGGCACATGCCCGGGTTGTGGGCTAGGCAGCCGATCAATGACTCTCTCCTCATTGATGCTTCTATCTCTCTCTCTCCCTCTCCTTTCCTCTCTCTGAAATCAATAAAGATATATTAAAAAAAAAGAAAAAAAGAAAAAAAAGAAATAATGAAGAGTAATACAATTAAAAATGGACGGGGTTGGACGTTGAGGCAGGGGATGGAGGGCCACTTCAGATTGGGTGAGCAGGGAAGGTCCTTCTGAAAACATTACATTTAAATAGACCCCTAAGTGTATAAAAAGAATAATCTACCAAGCATCTGGGGACAGAGCATTCCAGGTAAATGAAACAGTGCATGCAAAGGCCTTGCGGTTGAGCAAGCTTGGTATAGTAGAGATACCGACAGATGGCTGGAGTGCCTGAGTGGAGTGAAATAGGGGGAGTGGAACGAAACAAAATCAGAGAGGTAGGCAGAGGACCGGTCATAGGAAGAATTCAGATTTTATCCTATCACAGTCCATCTTTATATGGTCCAAAGCCGGGATTTCAAAGTGTGATCCCTGAACCAGCAGCATCCGCATAATCTGGGAACTCAGAAATGCCAACTCCTTGGCTGAGTTATAATAAATAAAACCTTCATATTAGTATCTCACCTAAAAATATATATATATATGAATAAAAATAGAGTGTTTGT